TTTCAACAAAATCCTCCCACTCTCCATTCCTATGCAAATCATAACTGAGATCTCCCAACCTGGTTTCTCTGTGTACCTTAGGTCTACTTGGCACCACAGAAGAATCCTAACTTCCCTTTCAGACAAATGGGAAAAGCCCAGAGGGGTTCAGGAAAGAGCCCCCAACAAGGAARAGGAAGGACAAGGCCTGCCATGCACTGTCAGGGAGAATTTATCAGGGGTCAGACTTCAGGGGCCAGAATCCAGAAGTTTGTTTCTCTGCTTCAGTAAATGATGGTATAAAGCAGCCAATGTCATTCCACAGTAGAAAGGAAGGGAGAGACCCTATAATGAATGTAATTTCAGCAGCTGTATGGGTAACTCCTTTTCTGCCTCTCACTGGGAGAAGAGGTGTCACAGAAGAAGGGTTCATGGAGTTCCCTGAGAGAAGAGAGAACTGGACTTTAAGACCAACAGGATCCTTGGCATACGTGATGGAAAACAATTTCAGCACATGCCTGTCAAAGGCATAGACAGAGGTTTATTTAGGAAAATAGATACACATTCAAGGGAGAATGTGGGCAATCTCCAGAAGGAGAGACAGTCACCCACTGGTGTGGAATGTTAATATTTATAAAGGGCCAGTGCTGGGGGCTGGACAATTGGTGGAGACAGGATGGAGCTACACAATTTCCTGCCAGTTTTTCCTTTGGGCATTTCCCTAATTTTACAAGGGCATGTGCCAAAGGGCATATTACTCAGTATTTACAAATGTGCTTTCCCATCTCAAGGACTTGTGGGTCTTTAAGTCTCTCTCTTTATCCTAAATCCCTATTTCATGCCTTCTTCTTTCAGGTCTGGCCGGCTGTAAGTGGCTAATGTTCAAAGAGCATGCTCTCTCCTGGCTCATCTCACCTAAATTATTATCCGACTCCCAGGCCAGAGGCCTGACTCTGGGAATCCAATAAATAAGGTCTGGTATTCACCCTAAAAAAAACAAATCAAAAAAGTAATAATGAAAAGCATGAAAAGAGCCAAGCATAGCGGTGCACGCCTATAATCCCAGCAGCTCAGGAGGCTGAGGCAGGAAGATCGTGAATTCAGCCAGCCTCAGCAACATAGCGAGATGCTGCCTCTAAATAAAATATATATAAAAAAATGGCTGGGAATATGGCTCAGTGTTTAAGTCCCCCTGGGTTCAATCCCYATAACCAAAACAAACATGAAAGGAACCAAGGAATCTTAATCAGTGTAGCTACACAGGGAAGACAAGGGAACACATGTCCTTAGCCTCATCTAAACTGATAATTATATCTTCATTTTTGAAGGATAGGCTACCAGGAAAGAGAGTTTGTGGTTGACAGTTTTAGTCTTTCAGCCCATTCCATATGTCATCCCATTGCCTTCTACTTCAATGGTTGCTGATGAGAAACTGGTTATTAATCTTAATGGGAACCCCTTGTGTGTGGTGAGTTTTTCCTCATTTGCTTTCAAGTTTTTCTCTTGTCTCTGCATAGTGTATCCTCTGCCTCTTCCCACTAGGACCATGCTCCACAAGGCCAGCATTCTTTGTTTCTCCTCTAATGAGATTCACAGATGCAAAAAATACTGTCACATATCTGACACACGATAAGTGTTAATTGAATAAATGAATACTGTAGAGCACCTCCCTCTATCTTTCTTCAAGGAGTCTCAGACCAAAGGCTGCCCTATGGCAGCTGCAGAAAAACTATCCTCACACTGACATTGTGGATGCCTGGGCTTTTCTCACAGCTGCTGCCCTCTCTCTTACACTCCCTTGTCCAACAGCCCTCCTGCTCCTGCTCTACACAATGCATGCTCACACTTACAACTTCAGCAAAGAAAAGTCCTTGACATTTGGGTCTATTTTCCAAAATRTATATAAATATGAATTATACTCTGTCCTATAAACCCTTCAGTTTAGACAGGAGCCAGCACTAGGATTACTAGAGCTAAAGGCATGGAGAAGGGTAGGCCAGGAGAGCAGAAAAAGAATTTCAAAAGGAATTTACCTAAAAAGAGAAACAACAGGATCTCTCCCCTTGACTAATCCTAGACTATATAATTCAATTTTTAAATATTGGGGGAAAGAACACAAACAAGGAAGCAACCTTGAAGAGGGCAGAAGATCATACTGTGAAAATTCATCTTATGATACCACAGAGACTCTTGTTTGCAGGGGCCTTATGAGAACAATGACAGGAAAAACTCCTGTTGCTGCTATCAAAAATGAAGGACACCAGAGAACAAGGAGACCAGCATCATTCCCAAGAACAAGAACAGACACAATCCTCTATGAGAAGCAAGAAATAAACACAAAAGTCGGGCTGAAGACCACACCAGGGGCTGAGCTTAGGCTGGMCTAGTGTTGGAGCAGGCCCCAAAATGGCCATAATTAGGCTCCCTCACCTAGGCTTCTGGCAAGCTCTATCGTGCTTTCAGTGTGTGACCAAAACCATGAATCATCTATGCTATGGTCAGTGTAACCAAAGTCAGAAACACTCTGATTCAACATATATACTCAAAGCCAWAAACATTCTGCTTGTGAGCACACACTCACTTATGTGACTTGTTGGCAGTGTGCCTTCTTTTGTTGGCTGCATATAAAAAGAGCCAAAGGAAAAGACTTGGGGCTAAATGGAACTAACCAGGGCTAAACTGATGGGGGTAATATGGAACTGGCTGGGGGTTAAAGCTGAAGCTGGAGGCTGTTGTCACCTCTGAATAAAGCATGTCTACTATCCTAACTGCTTCTTGCATCTTCTTCCACCTTTTGGGATACTTAATCTGTTTCCTAGGTCCAATCCCCTACCCAACAACCTGGCCACAGAAAGCCCTTGCTACCCATGGTCCTGGCAATTCCTGTATCCCTGTGATCACAGAYTGTAGAAGTTTTACCAGAGGGGCAAAGAGAAAGGAGCAGGGATGATGACCAAAGTCCAGCATGGACTGAGCACTGACTGGGCACAGTCCCAATCACTCTCTGCTCCTCACAGTCTTCTGTCCCCACCTGCAACAGACTCAGCACAGCAAAAACAGACTGTGGATGGTTCTCAGTGCTCCAATTTATTTCCTTCCTCAMATTTCAGGCATCTTTTTCTTTCATTAAGCAATCAACTCCTCATTTCAAATAACCCCAACTGTTTAAAAATCAATTTTATTTTAGATTCTTATTTTCTGTACAGAGATAAGAACTTGAAGATCAGTGTACTTGAGTCAGCGATGGAATCATCTAAGTCATACCTTTGTTGGAAAAGGAAAGTTGACTGTGGAAAAGAACATAGGTCAGTATTGGGATGGGGTCCTGGTGGGTAGGGGTGCTCTGGTCTCCCCACCTTCTCACATTATGCCAACAAGGACAGACACATTTAGACACTTTGCAGGAAGAGAATCCAGGAGTTCTTAGAGYCACAAAGAGGAGGCTTGAACAAATCTTCTTTCAGTCCCAAACAAAGCAGCTGTCCCAGACTACAGAACAAAATAATCAAGAACAAATTCAGGTCAAGCACTATTAGTGGCAACAGCTGAACAAAGCTTCACTCACTCAAAAGGATCGAATTCAGAAAGTCCTGGAACCCAGTTTGGTCTTCTCTGTCCCACGCCCTCTCCTACATCAGGCCCTGCAGAGTCTCACCTTTATGCCATGAGAGACACATCAGAGCCCTGGAAACTGTCCCTCCCTGGAACAGAAAAACAACTAGATATATTCAGAGGGCAAAAGAGAACTGGCTAAAGGAAGAATTATGGGATGGGTGATATTCTCCATGGACTTCTGCCTATGCAATCCTAAGGATCATCCCTTTCGCCATACTTACTTGGAGCCTGAGCATAGTTCCTCCCTGTTTTTCTACCTGTGAAAAGAAAACAATCTGTGAGAGGTCAGCAAGGAGGAGGGCCATGAAGGCCCTTTAGGAAGCCCCTAGTACTAACACTCAAAGGATGTTGCCAGAACATGACTTCAGACCCAGGAAATGACCAGGAGGCATGAGGAAAGGAGATTACAGGCACTGAACCAACTGCTCTCCCAGAGGTTTGCCCTCAGCAGAGACCTTCCCTTCTGACCTCTGACTGCTGGGAATCAGGCCCCCATCACAAAGATCATCAGGGTGCAAAATCTGTCTTTTATTTTTCATGTGCTTTATGATAGAATGTCAGCAAACAGCCTCAGGCTGTATAAACATGTATGTGAGGGTGGTACTTCCTATTAATGAGGCAGGACACCCTTCTACCTGGGGCCTGAAGTAAGAAAATTCAGAATCAGCTCTTCCTCTACCTGCTTCTTCCTCCACTTCATCACAACAACCACCACAACTCTGATGTCCACAGCTACAAGAAGAACCAGAACCAGGCCAACAATGATTCCCTTGATGGAGACGAAGGGCTGAGGAGGTGGCTGTGTGAAGCCAACAGAGGGGAAGGTGAGGAGCTCTGACCCCCAGCTTTCAGCCCTGACCTACAAAGGGGCTCCAGAATGGCTCCTGCTTTTCATGAAAATAAGCTCTGTGCCCTCATCCCCTCCTGACCCCATCTCAGGGGAGGGGCTCGGGCAACCCCTCATGCTGCACAAGATATGTGAATTTCTGCTCCCCTCCTGAAAGCACCACCACAGCTGCCCACTTCTGGAAGCTTCCATCTCCTGCAGGCCTGGTCTCTACAGGTTCCATGTCCTGGGTCTGATCCTCCCCATCCCGCTGCCAGATCAGAGTGACATCCTTAGGGTAGAAACCCAGGGCCCAGCACTTCAGGGTGACAGCTCCTTCAGGGCTAGGATGTGAGTCACATGTGTCTTTGGGGGCCTGGGAAGAAGAGTGACAAATTTTAGGTACTCTGRATTCTCTGTGGGTCACTCCAGCATCACTCAAGTATCCAACCTGAGAATGAATAGGACAACTGGTAGAGGGGAATGCCAAACCCCAACACTAAACAATACCTGCTCTGCTAAATCTGTATTTCCTGACCACCACTTGAAGCTACATATAGCCACATAACTGTTATCACCAACTGAACACAAACAGAAGTGAAGTATCAACTTAACATTTCACAACTTATGAGGATAAACTACTTATAAGTGCTACTACTTCCCATGCTGCTGTGCCTGAGTTTCAACTTGACCATGCAGATGAAGATAAAGAACCACAAAATGGAAGAAGCTACATCCTTAAATAACTGTGTGGAGTTGAACTGGCTTCCCATGTGAGACTTWAATAAGCCACAGTCTAAACCACAATATTTTGGGACCCCACATTATAATTGCTTTGCCTGTGTGTAACTGCAACAATAGACTTCTGAAGTAGCCGTTGAAAATTGGAGTATTACTAAATTGATTTGATAAAACAGTTCTTATACCAACTCTTKGCTGGAATTTACTGTGTTTTGAATAGTAAAAGATATATTTATAAGCCAAATACAAACAAACCACAACAACAAACCCCCACATGCTAGCCTACACACAGGCAAAAGGAATAATCTATTTCTTAGAAAGCTGTAGAATCAGGGCAGGAAGCTCCGGGTATTTGAGGGGTTGTAAAGGGTCCTGACTGGGTGGAGGAGGCTGAAAGACTCAGAAACACTGCAATCAGATCTCCGAAGACACTGGGTGTAGCACAGAGAACAAGGCCTGAGAGAGGTCATGATTCACAATCTGTTCCCAGAATCAAAGGGAACCGCTGATTGGTTATTTCAGGGATCTACTCTCTTTTTCAGTCACAGATTCCCAATTGTCCTGAGAGAAGAAAAAGTGGGCCCTGAGGTGAGTCATTTTCTGCTACTGGATCTGAAAACCTAGGAGCACTCTACATCCCTCCATGTTAGATAAAGACAGTATTCTAGTTAGGATCCCATTTTCCTCCCCTCCTGAGGAGATGTCCCACCCCACAGATGGGGAAGTTGCCTTGTGGCAGCTTGTACCTTTGCTTTGCAGTGTCTCCTTCCCATTCTCCAAGCGTCTCTGGAGCGACTCCACGCACGTGCCCTCCAGATAGGCTTTCCATAGCTCTGCTGTAGCCGCTGCCTCAAACTTGCCCCGGGTGATCTGAGCCCCAGGGTCCKCTGTGGTCCAGGAACACAGATCTTCTTCCAGGGAAAGGTAATCTTCACTGTCATAGGCGTACTGCTTATACCCGCGGAGGAGGCGGCCATCGGAATCCTTGTGGCAGTCTTAACTTGGACTGGATGGTGTGAGAGCCTGGCCCGGTCCCCTCCATCAGCCCCTTCCCCTCCAGCCTAACCCGAGGAAATTCTAACCCAAACTCAAAATGAGACCACGTAACAGTTCCCTTGAGCACTTCCCAGATCGAGGGTCTCCGCGGGCCCCGCAGACTAGGGATGATCCTCCAACCTGGGGACCCACAGCAATTTTAACCGGTCCGTGGGGAACGTGGCAGAGTCGTGACCTCTGCCCTGTGCCCGGCGTCACTCGCYGTTCTCACTCTGGTTGTAGTAGCCCAGCAGGTTATTGAGGTTCACTTGGTAAGTCTGGGTGTTGACCTTAGCTTTCCGCATCTGCTCATCCCAATAGTCAGGTCCCACCTGCTCCACTCAAGGCGCTCGCCGCGGATCCGTTCTTGGATTCGCTGCCTAGCTGTCCAAGCGCGCAAACCGTGTGTCCTCCAGGTAACCACAGCCAACTTCCAAGTACCTGGCCTCTCCGCGGTCAGGCACGGACATCGTGATGTAGAAACACGTCATGGAGTGGGAGCCTGGGGGCGGGGAGCGACTGAGACCGGCTCGACCCTTCTCAGAGCTCCAGGCCTCTGAAGATAGAAGGGGCACGGGGGCTCTTGAAATGGAAAAGGTAMGGGAAGAGCGAGATGTAGATGGGAGACAAGAGGGTGGAAGATGAGAAAGGGATCGAGACAGGAAGTGACCAAGGTGGGGAGGGGTACCAGCTAGGGGCTACCTCGACGCTTCTTCTGGTCCAGCGACCCCACCCCTTTATACTCCCGCGCATGCCCATTCACTACCGATCCACCACCCATCCGCACTCACCTGCCTAGGTCTTGGTCAGAGCCAGGGCCCCCAAGAACAGCACCATGACTCCCATTCTCAGGATTTGGGGAGAATCCCGGTCCCTGTGGGTCCACAGAGCCTTATAACCAGGAACCGCAGCAATGCTGATTAGCCAAAGAACACAAGGGGAGTGAGATCTGGGTCAGCCTCAGGAGTGTCCAAGATGAAGCACCTGACAAGGTCTGAGAAAAGGAAACATCAGGGATATGAAGACACCCCAAAGCTCAGCTTCCCTGCTCCACACTCCTCCCTGGAACCTGAGACCTGGAGAGCCATGCACTAGAACCTAGGACTTTGCTTAATCCCTCTCCTAATGAACAGAGTGTTCTTTGTCACCTSCTCTCCTCAGAGTCCTGGCTCAGAGGCTGTCTGAGGAGACCACAGGAAACCTCCAGCTGGGCTCAGCCTCTCTTCCTCCTATTCTATTACTGAATTCCTTCTCCCTGAGTTATATTTCTACTCCCTGACTGTCCACCTGAACTCTTAGAAGAAAATCACTCCATGTGAGTGCCTGGTCTAGAAGTGGGGYGGAGAGGCAGATTTTCAATGTCCTACACTCAGAGCCACAGCTCATTACATTAGCCTCACTCCTTCAGGTAGAGGTTGAGTTAGCAGGTCCAGACCACCCTCCGAGAGGGAARAAGCTGCCTCTCTGCAAAGAAGGAGCATGAAAGAATTGGCACATCTGTTAAAACCAAAACTAAAGCAAACAGTTTCAAAATTCCATAAGTCGAGTGCTGTTATATCCATTATTTTTCTTAAATGCTTTAGATTTCTATTTTGGAAAATTCATGATCAAAAGTTTGAGACAGCTGGGTGTGGTGGCACACACTTGCAATCCCAGTGGCTCAAGAGGCTAAGATAGGAGGACTGCAGTTTCAAAGCCAGCCTTAGCAACTTAGCAAGACCTTATCTCAAAATAAAAAATAAAAAGAGAGCTGAGGATGTGGCTTAATGGTTAAGAACCCCTGGGTTCAATCCATGGTACAAAAAAAAAGTTTTGAGAGAGAGATACACATTATTWTCTCTGAGTTTTCCTACAAAAGCTTTTTTTTTTTTTTTTAATTTGGTACCAGGGGTTGAAYCCAGAGATGCTCAACCACTGAGCCACATGTCCAGCCTTTTTATTTTTCATTTTGAGAGAGTGTCTCGCATTAGGACTTCACTAATTTGCTGAGGCTGGCTTGAACTTGTAATCCTCCTGCCTCAGCCTCCTGAGCTGCTGAAATTACAAGCTTGAGTCACTGTGCTCAGCTTGCAAATGCCTTTTTAAAAACTTCCTTTTCAGAAAAACTGAATTATCAAAGGTCTCATTGTGAAGAACTTTGAAGTTGCCTGGGATATTAATGTAGATTATCTGATTGCATGTCTGCACTCAATCTCAAGGTAGAATGGCTCCAAAGACTTCCACTACAGCATTTATCACTTACAATAGAATTGCCCCTTACCTTAATTCTCCTCTAAATGTTAATCTCTGGGAGAAAGATTGTATTATTCACCATTAAAGTGAATTCTCACTAAAAAAAAAAAAATTCCTTTTCAGTAAGTTACAACATCATTGAGAGTAGTGTGTGGTAGACGATGACATAGACCCAGGACTTCAGTGCAATCACAATAGTTACTTTAAATGATAACTATCTTTGTTTTTCCTAGGAAGTTTCAAATTTACTTTGTTAAGCATGCCAATTTTTATACTCAAATGTCATCTTCAAAAATACACACAGATTGCTTTTCAGTTAGAAAACTGTGAATTGTCCCACTGTTGTCGTGTATTTTTTTAAAAAATAGTAAAATCAATTAAAAAAAGAAAACTGTGAATTGTCTAAAATCTATACTTCAGTCTATCATTATGACAATTTTGGTAGTCAGAAATTGTTAGCTTGTATCCAGAAACTAATGTTTTTTTAAAAAAAAAAACTAGCTATTTGGTTGGCTTYCTATAATGAATTAAATGTGCTTCACTATGTTTTTGAATGAAATGTGGTAGAGGCTATTTGGACACCAGTATAATTCTAAAACACACACACAAAAAAAACCCATTAGGATGTGCTTCTAATGTTTTATAAAGCAATTCTATACAGTGGTGGCTTTATTCCCACGTGAATAATTCTTGTTAACAATTCTTGCAATAAACTTTGTTGCTTTGTTATCTTTCAGGGAAAAAATTAATCAGGAATTGTTCACAAATTGTAGTTTGAAAATGCCAGTTTAAGGAGTTGAGATCAAGTAAATACTTGGGTGCTAACCACAGGCACAAAAAAACAGAAACTATGAAGTCTCCTGAGCTGCTTGTCTCATCCCCCAAATAGAAACTCCATCCTGAGTCTTGGGTGAACTGTTCCCTTCCATTTCTTTAAAGAATTTTACAATAATTGTTTCATCCCCAATCAAATGTTAGTTCATTCTGCCTGTTTATAACYTTCCTGTGCAGTGACCTCCTGCTGCATTTGTGTTTCTGTGATGCTCATAACATGTAGAAGCCTTATCCCTCCTGTGCAAGACTGTCCTTCATTCACTTTAATGCAGAAGTTTTACTTTTGATGATTATACTACCATGTGGTACTTTCCTGTGGATGTAAAAATGGTTGATTCCACTCTGCCATAAACATTAGTGCACATGTCTCCTGTACACACAGGCAAGAAAGATCTCAAGCATAAAATCAGGAATAGGGCCTGGGGTGTGGCTCAGTGGTAGAGCATTCAACTAGCACATGTGAGGCACTGAGTACAATCCTCAGCACCACATAAAAATAAATAAATAAAATAAAGTCATTGTGTCCATCTACAATTAAAGAAATATATTTTTAAAAAAGATAAAGAATAGGATTGTACCATTCAAAAGCATATTTTTATTCAACCTAACTGAATAATGCTAATTTCCAAGGTGCTTGCACTCATTGAAACTTTTACCAGGAAATTATGAACATTCCTGAGGCTGCAGTTCTGTGGCCTCTGGCCTCCCCTGCCCTGCCAAGTACTGTAAAGAAAACACAGAACTGACATGGAGCAGGGAAGAGTGGAGAGCCACTGCCTTGTAAAAACCACACAGGCCTCTAATTTCCACACTTGATCAGTAACCTCCTTTCTTTGCTGACACATGACATCACACTGTCAGCACCTAGGTCCTGATCCTGCTTCCTTTTAAATAAGTGCATGGAGTACATTCATGTGTTTGGAATCCTCCAAAATAAAAAACAACAAATAAGAAAGGAAGAAAGGGTGGGAGGGGAAAAGGAAAGGAAGAAAAGACAAAATTAAATAGAGAACAAGAGATTAACTGGAAGCAGTGAATATAACATTATCAAAATACAAGAAAATTGATCCATTGAATAATAGAAATGTTAAGAAGCTTGATGAATTATCTGTTATTGCACATCAAACTAAATGACTACTCCAAAACAAGAAGTATCTACTAACTCCAGAGCTAATGCAAAGAGCAAAATGGAACCAAAGCAGTGGGAGAAATTGGATAAAGAATTTCACAAGCTAGAATAAGTAATAGGTCACAGGCACACAGATAGAACCAATTTGTTAGTCCAAGCCCTCAAAGATACAGCTGCCAAAAGGAACTGAACTTACCAGCACGTTACTAAGGGAAACACCTGTTGGAAAACATGGGGTGGGAGCTAGAAATCACTTGGAGAGGCTGCAGGCTGAGGTACAATGAGACCCGGGTGGTGGATAGAAGGAAAGAAGTGTGCAGGTTCACCAAACCACAGAAAACCTAAGGAGAGTAGAGCCAGACCACAGAGGAGTCCTCTTCACAACTGGTCATCAGAGGCCTCCCATGCCTCTGAGGAACTGGCCTGCCTCAATGACCCTGCTGTGACCAGTCATTGGCTGGGAATAGCCAATGGGAAGAAGAGCCTCTGCACCAATATTGCCCTGGGTTTCAGACAACAGTGGAGCTCTTGAAGTGAAGCTTGGACAGGAATGGACTCTATRGCAAGTCCAGCTGTGATGGAATTAGCCACCATCCCTCATGGTACTGGGGTGTAAGTGGGGGAAAAATACAGAATGGAACTGAACCTAGCACCAGTGGGAGAATCGGAATGGAGGATCCTGGGGTCCAGAGGGAGGCCATAACATCTACATACAGAAATAACCTTTCAGAAACAAGTTACTGGGCCCTGGTGAGACAGAATTCTTGACCATGGGACAACAAACAACTATAAGATGGCAAGTGCCCAAATGAATGGGTTTCTGTTTAACTCAAAAGGTCCTAAATTGGACAGGTCATATACCTAGACAAATTGGGGCTCACAATGGGACTCTGGTCCCACACCCAATCCTGCATAATTGGCACTGATACCCTGGCAGATGGAGGAACTCCACAGTGAGCTCCAGGTCTCTGGAGAAAAGGCTATCACAGTGCTGAAGACCAAATGGAAAGCTCTGACACTGTCTCCATCCCAGCCATGCAGAGGTGTTGGGGGAAGGTCTTGCAGAAATTGCATCCACTGTTAAAGAGATGAATGGGGGCTGGTGATATAGCTCAGTTGATAGAGAGGAAAGATTGAGGAGTGGTGGCACCTATTACACTTTTAAACCTAGGGACACCACCCTTCACCAACCCTCTCAGTGCTCCAGCAGTTCAAGCACCTGGCTTCTGCTCTGAGATGCTGTGGTGGGCATGCCCTCTGTTTTGTCCTGGTTAACTGTCACCACTTGTTCCCTAGCTCTTCAGGGCCAGACCCTCCCGGTGGCTGTTAATGAGCCCAACTCTGGAATCACCTTTCCTACCCTCAACCTCTGGCCTGCAGAAAACAGCACCCTAAACTTTTTAGTGATGTAGGTTCCTCTCATCAGCTTCTTCCTTCAGGCTGTGATGAAAGGGGACTCCATGGGCCTTAGGGGGAAGTGCCCCTCTGGTGGGTCTCATGGCCTCACAGAATATTTCCATTCCACACACCTTCTTCCTTCAGCCTCTGTATTCCATTCTCCACCATCTTCTTAGGCATCCTAGTCATGTCCACCTGCAGAGAGTTGGACATCAGTTTTCTACTTAGCACAAAGTTCATAGAGCAAAAATTCTAGTAACACAGCTCAATACATACATAAAGCAAATGTGACCAAATATTAAAATGAGTAGGTCTAGAGTGACCATTGTACTATTCTTGCAAACTTAGTATTCTTTGACATTTACCACAATAATCTGGAGGAAAATTAATCTAGTAATTCGTAATGATGTGGCAAATGTTCACAACATAATGTTGAATGCAAATTAAGTTTCAAGAGCAAATATGTAACAATGTGTCAGGGTCTATGGATGTGTATTAGTTTCACATCACTACATGAAAACACCTAAAAAAATTAACAGAAAAAGAGAAGTAACAGTTAATTCACAGTTTGAGAAGTTCAAAAGCCTGGTGCCTTCACCAGCTCAGTTCTGGTACATCATGGTGAGAATTTATGGGATAATAAACTGCTTACATTATGAGACAGGAAGCAGAGAAGGACTGAGAAACCAGGTCCCACAATCCCCTTCAAAAGAATGTCTCCAATGACCTAAAGACTACCCACTAAGCTCCAGGTCTTCACAGTACCTGCCAATACCACCACCCCAGGTACCAGGCTTTATATGTGGATCTTCGGGAGACACACAAACCACAGTAGAGTGTGTGTGTGGTGTGGTTTGTGTGAGTCTTTGTGTAAATTTATTCATTCTACAATTTTCTTTTTTTTTTTAAGAGATTGGGTCTCACTCTGTTATCTAGGTTGGTCTCAAACTCTTGAGCTCAAATGATCCTCCCACCTCAGCCTCCCTAGAAGCTGGGACTACAAGCATGAGCCACTGCCATTGCACCCAGCTTGCAAAGATTTTTTTTAAGGCATCAAAATTTTATTAGGAAGCAAACACAAAAAAAAAATAAGCAATTTTTTGAAATAACCTAAAAAATATATATTTAGTATATTCCATGGTTAGAACAATTCTTCAGATTGGAATAAATTACTCTGCTAACATATGCGCAATTTAATACTGGTTTAAAAAATAAGAAACAAGAAGCAGAAATATCTGGTCCCTGTATTTCCCCTAGTATCCATCAATCTACCACTGGTCTATTCATTATACATCATCTATCTACCAATATCTATCTACTTATCATTTCATCGAAGGCACAATTGCACTTGGTCAAATTTACAGGAAGCCACATGGGACGAATAAATATAAACATTGGCTGATACAATAAACATAAAAGTAGTAAAACTTTTAAAATTTTGATGAAAATAGGAGCACTATTTCAATAATGAAATATTGTAGTTGAACCCTAATTAATAGAACAGACGGAATCACTGAGGTTTGGGGTAGATAGAAAAAGATGAAAACTACGTTAAACAAATATTAAGGCATCAATATCCTAAGAATGGTCAAAAAGAGAAGAACCATCGAATCATTTCAGGAATATTGAAGMGCCACACACTGCAAGGATCTCTGACTATGATGGCTATGCAGGCACCCAGCACATCAGCTTCATCCATGACGTGGGTAGTCAGTGGGATGGTGTGACCCTGTTTACAGTCCCTGCCAGATGTTGCCTCAAYAACATCATCTTCAGAGACTTTATGCATCTTCAAGGTCTGTGCTTCATTTGCCACTCAGTGGCCTTGAAGATGCATCACACTTGTCTAGCAGGTTAAAAGCCAATTGTAAATTTCATGAAGACACATATTTTGAAGTATTCCTATCATCACACAATAGAAATGTCATATCCATGAATATAGGTCTTTCCACTGCTTGAAGGTCAGAGATCTTGCACAAATGTTTGATCTGAATACCTGCTACCGAATCAGTAGATTCAGCTTAAAAATACTTTGCTCTCTTCCTGGGCAAAGTGGCACACACATGTAATCCCAGTGACTCAGCAGGCTGAGGTAGGAGGATCATAAGTTTGAGGTCAGCCTCAGCAGTTTAGTGAGGCCCTAAGCACTTACAAAAACCTTTTTCAAAGTAAAAAATCTGTCGATGTAGTTCAATGGTAAAGTGGCCCTAGGTTCAATCCCCAGTACCAAAAAAAATTAAAAATAACACTAACTCTCAACTGTTTCCTAAGGTTAGATGGTTTCAGGTTTGTTTTCAGACCAGGGTGGGTATATCAAGAAAATGTTCTTTCTAATGTAACAAATCATGCAGGAAACACAGCATGATTTCAAATTTTTTTAATTTCTCAAAATTTATTTTATGACAGAATATAGTCTATCCCTGTTAATTTTCTACTTGTCATTTTTTGTGTGTTTGGTTCTCTCTATATAACAAATAGGTCAAGGAGGCTGATAATGTTGTTAAGCTTTCTATATTATAATTCCTTCCAACAAAGTGAGGGGGCTCAAAATCTCCAAATATGATTGTGGATTTGWCTTTATAGTTTTATTAATTTCTACTTCATGTATTTTGGAATTTTGTTATTAGGTACATACTGGTTTAGGATTGTTATACTTTCCTGAAGAAGTCACCTTATTATGGTTCTGAAGTGTTCCCCTTTATCTCTGAAAACACTTTTTCTTGACATTTATTTTATATTAATAGCTCTACTTCATATTTCTTGTGCTTATTTTACCCTTCTTTTGCTTTTAACCTATTGGTGTATTAATATTTAAAGGATGACATACGTATAGAGCATATAGTTATTGTTTCCTTTTACACAGGTTCAACAATTATTACTTTTAATTACAACATCTGTATCATTTATATTTAAATTAATTATTGATATTGTTGGGTAAAAAAAAGAACCCCTGGCATGAAGATTAGTTAAAAATTGGGTAAATGATAGTTTTGATGTAATATTGYGGAAAATGGGTTGAATAGTCCTGCTATAGAGAGAAGATTGTTGGAAGGTTTTGTTTCAACTCTCATCTATCATATGGTACACAGCAACAGATTTATTTTAATGTTTGTTAAAGTTTATTTTGCCAGTAAAAAATAATATATATACACATATACATAAAGCCATGGGAGATATTTTATAAACAAGTACGTATATTGCAAATGTTAAAATAATAATAATAATAAAGAAAACAATAAAATATTCCAAGCCTTGAGCACATCATCCTTTCCTGGAAAGATAGCTTATTTGTATCAGGCCACAAGGCCATACAAGAAAGTACTAAATAAGCCTGGGATTGGGGCTCAGAGGAAAAGTGCTCACCTAGCATGAGTGAGGCTCTGAGTTTGATCCTCAGCACCACATAAAAATTAAATAAGGGTATTGTGTCCACCTACAACTAAAGAATAAATGTTTTTTAAAAAAGAAAGAACTAATAAAATCATTCCCAGTACCTTGGCAAATAAAAAGTTCTTCATATTGCTTGATGAGAAGATATTGCTACATTTAATTCCAGTTTTCCTGGATTCTGGGTGGACTAGAAATCTATATCCCATTGAAAYCACAACATTATTGCTCAGGCAAAAACAGATTCTGCTTGGATGTCATCTGTCCATAGTTTACAAAGGGTCTAACAGCTGGAAGGTGGCTGACTTTTTTTCAATGAAATCTCCCAAAGCAACATCAAAACTGAAGTTTCAGTGGTTGAGTGCATGGCTCCAGGCAGAAACATCAGGAGGAAGGACATGGCAGAGGAAAACT